TTGGAAAAGTGACTTCCCTTATTAACCATTAAGACTCCAGTCTGTTGTTCCCTAAGGAGGCTCCTTTCTACAGCTCCAACCCCGGAAATCAAGTCCTGTCAAAGACCTGGGGTAACAACCACCTCAGAGATTAAGTTCCACCCAAGTGGACCCCTTCCCCCTTTAATGTTCTAAAGTCAACTCTTGGGTCCATTATACCTGAAGGAAAAGGGCTCCCCCAGAAGGAGGAGATAAGGCCCCGGCACCCATTGTTGTGGCATCAAGGCCTCACCCTACTCCTGTACCCTGGCACAGGACCTAATGTACTTGTTTAGGAAAGACCAGCCAGGAGTTCCTGTTAGTCTCCCAGAAGTTTGTGGTCAAGTCCCTTCAATTTATCAAGCAGGACTTGACCAAAAGGACATGGGAGAACGTCACTCTGACCACTGCAGACACTCTGGTCTTACCCTGTGTAGTGTCCAACACCCAACCAGGGGCACCCATCCTGGATAGTGCAGAGGTCCTGGGGCCTGCAGGAGAACTAGTCTTATAGCCGATAATGCTTGGCCAGGGAACAGTGGCTTTTCCATTCTCATCAATGGGGTGACACTCGCTGATGGAGCAACGTTCTTTTGTGTAAAATTTTCTAAGCACTTTGAGGAAACATCTAGGAACAGTAGTTGCTATCCAGGGTTTGCACTTGGAAAACGTTGGGCAAACACTCTGTGTGCAAAAGGCTTGGGAAATGCTTCGCCCTTCTCCTCAGTGGCATAGTGGTGTTACTAGATCACTCACTGAGCTCTCCCATGGGATATGTTCTTAAGTACTAGAAAACATTTAGCTCTGTGTCCATAATGGAGGAAAAATGTGTTTTACCATAGAGTTTAGCCTAATATGCTTTGGGGTCAAGAGAAATACAATCTGTTAATAAAAATTTAGATTATATCACCGTTTTACAACTAGACTTGTTCTGTATATATATGCTAAAAGTGGGATGGAATTCCTTTTTTGTTCAAGTTCTCATGTCACTGTATCAGACCAGAGGATCTTAGAAAAATGTGGCCTTGTGTTGCAAAGAATAAAAGTGAATGAAAAACAGCCAGCATGACCATATTTCTCTAAGGACAAATACCTTCCTTTTCCTTGGACATCAACCAGAGCCTCACCGCTACCCTCCCTGCTGAGTGCTCACCAGCACCAGCCTGGACCCCACCCCCAGAGCACCTGCCCTGACTGCTGCATCTCCAGAAACAGGGATTCAGGAAGCTGACACCCCCATCTCAGA